TATATATTTTAAATAATTTTATTTTAAATACGACTAAGCCCTGTATATTAGTATATAGATAACTTGTTTTTACATTAATTGAAAAAAAGTATAATTTATAAATTAGTATTTTTCATTGTGGAATGAAATAATTTCTTATATCTTATCTTTTTCAGAACTTTAGCATTCTCTCTCTCTCTCTCTCTCTCTCTCTCTCTCTCTCCTAGTTTTAGCGGCACGAGTTATGTGATATCGCGTTGCAATGAAGAAAATATTTGACATTTGTGTTTTAGAATTTCGAATATTTCTTATCAACTAATGTGCTGACCAAAGGCAAGAGGTAGTAAAGCGGTTTGCTAACATGGTTTGTTTTACATAATTGCTCACGTGAAGTGTTTCTGACATCCCAAAATTAAGGGATACTTATAGATTTTTATCGCTTTTTTAAATAATTTTATAATTATTAAATAAAGATTGATAATATGTTATACATTCTTTAAATAAAGATAAATGCAAACATCTTTTTTAAATTATGAAACAATTTTGACTAAACAGAATATCACGAAACAGATATTTAATACGGTTCATTTGTTTGAAATCAAAATGCGATGGAAAAACAGAATTTATTATTTTGCGATAATTACGGACAATTATTTTTGTTTAATGTAACATTTTTGTCTCGCTTGAGTATAACTCTCGATTATTCTTCAAATAAACGGTATCACACGAGTCATAAAAAAAACAACGTTAATAAGTACTCTTGCAAATAACGCAAATTTATGCGATTCCTATTTTGTCAATTAATTATATAATTTGGGTAATTAATAATTTAATTATTTTTTCATTTTCGTGTACCATTCGTGATATGATTCGTATAAAAAATTGAGCGTAACTTTAGAACTATTTGTCGATAATAAAAGAAATATTTCTCTTTTCTGTTAATCTCATCCCATTAACTCTAATTATATCTTGCAAACATCGTAATAAGAGATTCAGCCCTTTTATCTGCTCTGAATTTATTTCACAATGGTGACGAATTGATGTATGCTTGATATTCATTTCTAAAAGTCAAATTTTCGGCGGCATAAAAAGGGCCCCAAGAATCCGGAGATAATTGAAGAACGCTGACATTATCAACAATTGATATAAATTTGCTATTATTAACATAAATATTTAGTTAATACATTATTAAATTTATGATTTTTTATTACATAAATGCTCCATAAATAAATATGCATACTTGTAAGGCTGCAATATCCTATATATTACCGAAAAATTACAATTTTTTCTCTGTAGTTATCATCTCTGTTGATAATCAAACTCGGATGATAACATTAAAATCACAGTTTTAAAAAAAATTGAGTATTATTATATTAAGTTTTAAACATATATACGTGTCTACAAAACTAATAAATCATGAAATTAGTACCGTATTGTCAGTTTCTTACTATCATTTAAATTTTAACAGGCACTTGAACTTCCATAAGCGCCGACCGTCTTATCTCGTCGGTGTCTCTGCTGAATATATAATGAATACTGAATATATACTTATAAATTTAGAATTATCTGTTTTAATCTTCTCTGTTGCGTTTTTTCTTAGTATATGTTTTGCATGGAAACATTATTGAATAATATTTGCGCTTCTTTTATTTATATTTTTAATCTTTTTTTAAGGCTTCTAATTATTCCAATTCAATTATTCCAATAGTTATTATTTTTATATGCGTTGTTACAAAATTATATTCTGAACACATCACAATATAGAATAAAACAAATATATACGTAACAATGAGACAAAATCGAAGACCATAGATGTGTGTTACCCACTGGACATATTCGTGGCTATATAGTTTATCGTGCACGTTTATGCACATAGAGGCGCCAGTAAACGGGTTCTATGGTTCTATCTTACGTATATATACGTCCATGACTCTCTCTCTCTCTCTCTCTCTCTCTCTCTCTCAGGATATACTTTTTTATTTCACACATTTTACATTTTAAATCAATAATCGTGGTGTCACGAACGTTATTTACCCTTAATCGATCAATTTGCATTTGTCATATTTTACCAATCCTTTTTTATAAATAGATAAAAACGATATGTAATATTGATAATTGATAATCTGTAATTGAAATAATGAAAGTGTTAAAAAATTTTATTTGGCAACAATTTAATTTGTAAATTTGTTATAAATATAATATACTATTAAATCTATATATATATATTGTAAATGTCATACAATATTTGATTAAATTTTAATTAACATTTTACAAACTTGAGATTATATTGTAAACTTATTAATAATTAAATCAAGACAATGTGTTCTATACTTCTATATATATTTATAATACTTCTATATATATTTATAATATTTTTAGATTATTATTTTATAATTATTGATAATTATTTATTGTACACGATATTATTATATCTATTAATTACTATTACCAAAAATAACAAAATCTCTTTGACTTATTTTAACAGTTATAGTACGTATATTCTATGCACCATACCTTAATGTTATTTGCCAATTTTTTGTTTAGAAACTTCACTGCACTTCAACACAAACAATTTTAATTTTGTGTATACAATTTCTTTTAAATAATCTAAAGCGACGTATATGTATAATTTAATATATATATTAATTTACTGTGATTAATATTGCTGTCATATACACATCTTCCCTAATCTTTTAACTTGCATTTTCTTAATAAAATGTATTGGAATATATTTTTTAAATATAATTTTATTTAAATTCTTCAATTACATTCTTCTTTTGTTTTAATAAAAATAATCGATTTAATCAAATATCCTGTTTTCTGTGGCTGAACTAGTGTATACTTTTGAAACTTGAAAATGAGATAGGTATATATATTTGATATTTGTCGAAAGTGAAAAAGAGAGTTCTAGTGCAGTCTAATGCAGGAAAAGAAAACAGACCCAAAGAATGTCAAGATGAAATGTTCGACTGCACTTTGTGACAGAAATAAATTAAATATGATTTCAGCTATGTTTTCATTAAGATTTCATGTAAGTAAACCATAATTGATAGTTTGCTAACATTATATGGCATGACGTTGGACTATAAGCCACGGTTCGGCATGAAAGTGGCAGTATATGATATCATGTAGGTATAAGACATGCATTTTAAAATTGTTGCGTATGCGAAAATATGGTTCTGCGTGGGGACACAAAATTGCAAGTTTTGTACCACACTAATGACATAGTCGTCGAATGTATAGACGGAAGTTGCAGATGAAAAATTGAATTGTGAAGCTATAGACTCTTTTGTTATCAGTAAAATCTTCTTATTTTGTCTCGTCGCAAAGAATATGTTTGTTGTATTATCGTAGTATCGTAGCTCAATATACATATACATATAATGTGTGTACTTTTTAAGTACTGATAATCCAAAGACACTAAATTATAAAATTTATCTTTTATTTTATAGTTAATTTCTTTGTAACGAAAATCTAATTAAGTATAATTATTGATCCATAATTATTTAATATATGTATATAATTTGTTAATTAAGAATTATGTATTTGTAAATCATAATGAACATTATGGAAATATAATATTTTTTCTATAATATTGAAAGTAATCAGAAAAGAAATAAAGAAGTTCTATGATTTAGATAATACAAGAACGTTCTGTATTAGTCGTATAATAAAATTGTTTTATTGTATCTTGTCCAAATATGACAAATAAAAAAGAAACGAGTATTTTGACATTTACATTTAAAATTCTTACCATTTGCGGATGTTGGCCGTATTCATGGGCGTCGCGATATAAACGTATAATGTATGATGTATATACGATCTTCATAGTTTTGCTAATAAATACATTTACATTATCGCAATTGATGGATTTAATTCTAACTGTGGACAATGCCGATGATTTCTCTGAGAATTTTTATGTGATGCTTGCTATGTTCGTATCATGCTGTAAGATGTTCAGTTTATTAAGAAATCGTAACAACATTGCGATGCTGATTGATACTCTGATGAAAAAACCATGTAGGCCTACTGAACACGATGAAATAGAAATTCGACAGAAATTTGATAAGATCGTACAGTAAGTATCTTAAAATAATTAATAATTAATTATTGTTTAACATTACATGTTGTAAAGAATTAAATCTCTTTATTATATTACAAATATTATAAAAAAAAATAACAATGACGTAAAATATTGCATAGTATATGTTATCGCGTAAAGAAGCACGGAAGTGTCTCATACCATGTCTTAGCGCCGAGACACTACCATGTCTCCAGATACTTAAACATTAAATAAGACTATGTTTTTATAAATTGATTTATTTAAAGATTAATTTTACATGACGTTAAATAAAAATGTTATGATTCAATAATAAATTAACATTAATGAAGAAAGTAACGAAAAAATCCGACAATATGTATTTTACAGAACAAATACGCTTTGCTACGCGACTCTAGTGGAACTAACATGTGCATTTGCATTAGGAACATCTGTGTTTAAAGACTACAGAAAACATAATCTAGCTTTCCGAGCATGGTTACCATTCAACTATTCTTCGCCTTTGTTATTTCGGATCGCTTACGTTCATCAATCGATAAGCTTGACCGCTGGATCTATCCTTCACCTCGCTTGCGACAGTCTAATTTGCGGATTACTGATGCACATTTGCTCTCAGCTGGAAATATTGGAATGTCGTTTGAAAAAAATCATTGATAAGCCACATATTCTTCGGGAATGTGTCATACAACATACATGCATTTTCGAGTTAGTTCTTTTTATCATCACTGTTATAGATAATAATTTCTCAAAACATAAATAATTATAAAAAATATTTGAAATTTACGTCCGCGGTTAATTCTAGATTTGCATTAATGGCGAATAAAAGATTTAGATTCACAATCACGGTCCAGTTCTTAGTGAGTATGTTAGTAGTGTGCTTCAATCTGCATCAACTGACGCAGACGAGTGTATTAAGTGCGAAATATGTTCAAATAGTATTATATATGTTTTGCATGCTGACACAAATCTCTTTTTATTGCTGGTATGGAAACGAAGTTAAGTTGAAGGTGGGCACGGATATATTTTTTACATACGTATGATTTTTTATTTCTTTCTACATATTGTATATTTGTTTATGTTTGCATATACTTTAATATCTAATATGTCAATAGCACGTGACATGACAGATATGTTAAATTATTGTATTATAAAAATTAATTTATATTTCATACACATAAAATAAGATACATGTGCGTGCGTGCGCGCGCGCGTGTGTGTGTGTGTGTGTGTGTGAGAGAGAGAGAGAGAGAGAGAGAGAGAGAGAGGAAATACAAATACTTACATTATTTTGAATTAGTTTATTAATTTTCTTTTGTTTTATCATATTTTTCATCCATACAGGCATATAAATCAACCTACAAGGAAAACATAAGATTTAATTATCTCTCTGTTTTACTTTATAATTAAAATTTCAGAAGTCAATAAACAATTTTTTATATATATTCTTAAATATAGAGTCGGCAACTGGTCAGCAATATATTCGAAATAGAATGGTTTGTGTTGGATTATCGTGTGCAAAAAGATTTGTCAATAATTATGATGCGTAGTATCGTACCTATTGAATTTACCAGTGCTTATGTTATCTCTATGAATCTTCAATCGTTTGTCAGTGTTAGTATAAATATTTATTTTTAATTTAAAATTAGTAATTGACTTTAAATTAATAGCTAAAGGAGAATGAATTTCGGACGATTTGGGCAGAATCATTGAGTTCAACTTTTTAAAAATTCAATTTCATTCATTAAATCAGAAAATCAGAGTCTAAAATATCTTTTTTCCTATTTAAAAATTTTTTCAGGTAAAAGTTATATGATTTAAAGTGGTACAAATAATAGTAATTAATTTTCGAAAAAAATCAATTTTTCAAAATCATATAACAGTTATCCATTTTTTAAATAAAATTATATATTTTTTTTACATAACAGGATTTTTTATAGTTATTCTGCATATTAAAAAAATTTCCTATGATGTACATTTTATTAGAAAAAAAATTATTAATTTATATAGATAGTACGTGATAAGCAAATAATTATGTTTATTACAGTTGCTCAAGACGTCGTATTCTGCTTTCAATATACTTCAACAAATGCAATAATAAAAGTAGTAAAAAAAAGTAGAAGAAAATCAATATTTATATTTTGTATTTATATTAATTTTAATTTCTGTATAAAATAAATGTGTATAAAAATAAAACTTAAATTAGATTATTGTAATTAATATCTTTATATATTAAATAAGAGTGTACTATATTAGATAAGATTACTATATATCTCATACGCTGTACAATATTTGCTCCTATTGACACTATTAATTAGGTAATATCTTCCTAATGCATATTTTTTTAACTCACCTTTTTTATTAATAATATGATTACTTTGATATTAATATGTACTTTGATATTAATATATAATTGAGAAATTGTATTAAGCGATTTTCAAGGCTTAATGAAAAAAAAGTTAACATTTAAAGTTATCGTTTGATTATTCGACGATAATACTTTATGTACTTCCATCAATTAATAGGCTCGCTTGTTGGAGCTACGCTACATAAAAAATTTAACGTCATTACTTGAACTGTATATTCTTTCTATAGTATTTTTACTTACATACATATCCATACGTAATAATATATTTCTACATATTATTTTATATTAACGTGCATGTGTATATACGAGATTGTGGTTTACTGCAGTATGACAGAATATTAAAGTATTTGACTAGAACACAATTTGATGTACGACGTATGAACATTGCATTATTCATAATTTTCAATTTCTGTTTTTTATTCTTTGATTAGAACTTATAGTTCTCATACATATTTTAACAAAGTATTTTTCATATAAAATATCATTATATTGTAACTTCGCGTACAATATCACATCTTTATTTAATGATTGCACTGTCTCTGCATGAAAATATTATTACGCAAAGGGCACAATTACAGTCTAAATAATAAAAATTCTTGTATGAAGGAGGAAGTTGAACATATATCGTATTATTATCGGAAAACTGCGAGAGTCTTTTTGCGAGAGACTATAGACATTTGGTGATCGTCAGTCTCTTAAGATTTTACTGTGCATTACAATATCACTATAATATTAACTTTGTCACTATAGTATAATCATTCTTAACAAAATTAATTGACAATCAGTTTTTAGTAACATGTAATTTTTGTTTGGTAAATTAATTTATAATAAATAATTAGGTATATAACGTGTAACAATATACAATCTTACTTGGAATAAAAAGCAGAAAATGTAACATTTCTGATGAATTACTTTGTTGTTGTAAAAAACAACTTTTTAAAGTAAAAAGATAAACAAAATCAAAGTTAAAATGAGCTTATTAGAATTTACATTTAAAATTTTATCGAGTTGCGGTTGTTGGATACCGAATTCTTGGATGTCTCCATATAGACGATTAATATATCATGTGTACACTGTTTTTATACTTTTATTGATAAATACATTTACATTATCGCAATTCTTGGATATAATTCTGATCGTCGACAATTCGGAAGATTTCATGGATAACTTTTATATGTTGCTTGCCATGATCGTTTCTTGCTTCAAAATGTTTAGCCTGTTAATAAATCGTAGTAACATCGCCATACTGACAAACATTCTTATCAATAAACCGTGCAAAGCATGTGATACAGTCGAAATAGAGATACAACACAAATACAATAAGCTAATTGAGTAAGTACAACGTTGCGAGACAGTCATTTTGTATATTTCACATTTAATTATATGTACATATATTAAAGAATTAAACAATTTATATTCATTTAAGAGATATGCAATTTAAGTAAAATTTATAATATCTTAATTAATTTTCTATTAAAAAGTACTATTTTTAAACAGTATTATTTTTCAAATTTTTTTAGAACTTTTGTAATTTTATAATTTTCTTAGAATAATACTTTCTTTTTTTAAACAATAAGTTGATATGTAATATACATTGTTTTTTATCAAAATTATTGTTTAAAGAATTAAAGTTGTGTATTACTAACTTTCCAATTTGAAAAATTAACAGATTTATTTAACTAGAAGTTTTCTTGATAAAAAATAATATGAAAGAGAGATTATCATTAAAGAAAGCGTTGAATATCAAAATGAAATGCATGTAGCTATTTTACAGGACAAATACTCTGTATTATATGATCCTAGTTGAATTAACATGTGCATCTACAGCTGTAGCATCTTTGCTCACGGATTACAGAAAAGAAAAGTTAACGTTCAGAGCTTGGCTGCCATTTGATTACTCCTCGACAACGCTTTTCCATTTTACGTATTTTCATCAATTAATAAGTTTGACAGTTGGATCTGTCTTACATGTTGCTTGCGATGGTCTTATTTGCGGATTATTGTTGCATATATGCTGTCAACTAGAAATATTAAGTTGTCGTTTAAAAAATATCGTACATAATCCAAAAGTACTTCGCGACTGTGTTATTCAACACAACCTTTTATTTAAGTTCGTTTTATTATAGTTTTTCTTTAAATAGTCTTTTAATATACATAAACAAGTTATAAAAATGTCTTTCTATCTGAATAACTTTTTATTTAACATTTTTAAACTTGTTTAAAATTTTTAATTTATTTGTACACGCAAATCAAAGATATGTTTGATACGTCGTAATTTTTTAATTATTATAATTTTTAATATTTCTATCAATAATAAAATATGTTAAAATGTGTTCAATTGATTTCAGATTTGCGTTTTTATTGAACAAAAAATTTAGGTTTACTATCACTTTTCAGTTCATAGTAAGTACATTAGTGGTGTGCTTTACTTTATATCAGCTAACCAAGGCAAGCGGAAAATTCATTGAATTAGGAATGTACATGTCGTGCATGCTGACACAAATCTTTTTGTATTGCTGGTACGCAAATGAAGTAAAATTGAAGGTATACAGTTTTTTGAAATGGATATCCCTATGTGAATGTTTCTTCTAATTTAGTTTTTATTTATTAACTTTTTATTTTTCTATATTAACTAGATACGTATTGACAAATACACATGTAATATACACATTTTATTTATACTAAAGTACAAAATGCTTTTTAATATGCACAAAAATTTATATGCAATATGCTATTAATTAAATTCTTTTTGTTATAATTAAGACTTTAATAAATAAATGTCTCATTTTCATAAATAGAGTCTACAATTAGTCAATGATTTATTTGAAATAGAATGGCTTACATTAGGACGAGATATAAAAAAGGATTTATTAACAATCGCATTACGCGGTAGAATGCCAATTGAATTCAGTAGCGCTTATATTATACCAATGAATCTGGATTCGTTTGTGGGTGTTAGTATAAATAATTAATTTTTATATTATAATAATTATTTTATAATTAATTAAAAATTGTCCATTTACTTGTAAAGTATAAATATTAAATTAATTTGGACTTGAAACACAGGATTACTTTGTATATTGCAGTTGCTTAAGACATCGTATTCGACCTACAACATACTTCAGCAAACGCAAAATGACAAAGTTAACTAAGAAAATTGTTATATTATACATATTCGTTGTTACATATACATCATATAGATTTTTCATGAAAATAAAATTAAAAATTAAAATAAATAAATATTTCATTCAATATTAATAATTGATTATGATATAAAATTAATTTTCACATAGTTAATTTTGATATATTAATGTTATTAGAGAAAAGAAACATAATTTAAATTGCATATTGTTTGTATTAGATATACAGAATGTTTCAAACCCGTATACCCCTTTCAAAATGAAAGAAAGTGATTTTTATATAAAATCTTAAAAATCATATTACATGCGGTAATTACATGTGGTTATTACATGTGGTTATTACATGGGTTACGCCAAGAACAGTTAAAATTAATTTTGCCATTATTTACTTTTAAGATCATTTCAAAATCAATGAAGGCATTTTCAGAAAAAAATTTCCAAGATAAAAGTTTCTTACTTTTTTGTATATAAGCCGAATCTGCAATTAATAAAAAGTACACATGTTACATTTAAAAAATTTGACAATAGATCTTGATAGTTCATTTTCGGAATTGAAAGTTAAAAATATCATCATTAGAAAGAGCGTACTCGATTCACTTATCAAAATTTTTAGTATTATTCATAAAAATCATTTCCTTCATTTTAAAAGGTGTACAATCCGGAACCTGTGTATTTTTCTCTAAATACTATGCAACAATTTTTTACTTACGTTTTGTGCATCCGTATTTGTATTATCTACATAATTAGTATACTGCTCCTTTATTTAAGAATGACACAACTCAAGAAATGATTTTTGAGTTATTATCATAAATGAGTTAAGGTGTAATATTACTTTGTTAATCATCAAAAACTAATTTAACTGTATAAAAAATCAACTCAAATAGGATAATATCTTAAGGATGATTTTTGTGAAACGAAAACGACATTTGATATTATGATAAGAACACATTCTTTCTCTCTCTGTATCGATATTATTGATTAATCAATAATTTTTTGTTACAAATAATTTTTCCATTTTCTGGAAAGCTTAAATTTTTAAGTAGTCTTTCGAAGTAACACTTCTGAAATGCATATACAATGTTAGTAAGTTATTTGATGCTCAAATAGAAATTGCCGTCATAAAAATCAATATAAAGCAGTAAAATTGATTAACAGTTACATTTCAATTTAATAAATTATTTCTTGGTTTTTTTATTTTGTAGCTCTACTTTCTAATAAACTTTATTTCTCAGGAAGTACTATTATGTGAAGATATAATTGAGTGATCTATATCTTATTACCAGAAAAAAACTACACAGGGCAGTTGTAGTGGGTGGGATGCATGAAAATATTATTATCTGAAGGGCATAGCAATCTGAATAATAAAAATTGTCATACAACACATATGAAGGAGGGAGTTAAGCAAAGCATATTATCATTAGAAAGACCATAAGGCTATAGACGTAAGGCTACGCCGGTCGTCAGTCTCTCTCAAGAGCTTACTGTGTATCATATTTTCTAAGAAAATATTTTTATTATAACATTCTCTGTAGAAATCGTTGATCGAATTAAAATTTAGCAATTTCAATTTATTGTTGTATACGAATATTTTCGAGCACATTTTTAAATAATTATTATATAATATTTGGGATTTCACGTTTCAATATTTAAAATAAGGAAATAGGGAATATTATAAATATTCTCTCTAAAAAATGATTTACGAACATACGCTTTATTTGGAGAACTGCAGACATTGATATTTTCAACAAAAATAAATTAAAAATTAAAGATGCAAATATTAAATTTTACGTTTAGAATATTAATGATTTGTGGATGCTGGGTACCAGATTTCTGCACGACACCATGCAAACGGTTAGTTTATCATGTTTACACTATTTTGATATTGCTACTTATACATACATTTATGTTATCGCAATTGATGGATTTAATTTTAACCGTGGAGAATCCCGACGATTTTACTGATAATTTCTACATGCTACTCGCAATGATTGTTTCCTGTTGTAAGATGTTCACTCTGTTGATGAATCGCAGTAATATTGCGATACTAATCGATATTCTTGTAAGGAAACCGTGTAAACCGATCCAGTCCGACGAAATCAAAATTCAGCAGAAGTTCGATAAACATGTACAGTGAGTACTATTATACAACAAGACTTCTCTTAGACATATAAAATATTTTTTTTAGTATAAACTATAATTAAAAGTATGCATATCACATTTAATCTTTAACTATTTTTTAGTTTGGCTATTTATACCTGGCTCTTTTTCCAATGTCTTTTTTAATACTTTTCCATTGCTTATAATTTTTTTATTGATAAAAATACATACATTTATTTAGTACCGTTATATTCCTTAATATCTAGCGTTTCAAATTAAAAAAAACTTTCTATTATACAATATATTCTATTATACAATATGTTTTATGAGAATATATGTTTTATACATATAAACATTCGAATTAAGTTGGATATATCATACACCCGTGTGTTCCTGGTTTTAAGAATTGATTTCACAGATATTGAGTTACAATAAAAATTTAATTAATACTTAGAAATGTTATAAATCAAATTAAAAATAAATTTTTAACTAATTTTTATATAGCGTTTAAATTTCCAGAATATTTAAAGTATTTAAATAATTTATACGTTTTACATGTGATTATAATTGGGGTTTTATATATAATGGTTATAATAATTTTTATAATTTTTTGGTATATGAGATAAAATATATAACTTTTAAATCTCTCTCTCTCTCTCTCTCTATATATATATGTATATCTATATATACATTAATTATTATGAATTATTTATTAAAACTGGTAATATACATTATGCATACACTAGCATTTTGGTATTATATGATTAAGACGAAATATTACAAGTTGCGTAGTTAATTAAAAATCCTAGATAAAAAATAGAACAGAAAAATCTCTATAGATAGACATCTTGCAGGACAAATACGCTTTTCTACGCAGTTTGGGTTGAAACAACGTGTCTATGCATAGCTGTGACATCGTTGCTAACAGAATTTAGAAAAGGAAGATTGACATTCAGGGCATGGTTGCCGTTCGACTATTCCTCGTCGTCACTGTTTCGTATTGTATACGCGCATCAATTGATAAGTTTAACAGCTGGATCCATTCTCCATGTTGCTTGCGACGGTCTAATATGTGGATTACTGGTGCACGTTTGCTGTCAGATAGAAATAATTGAATGCCGTTTGCAAAAAGTCGCACATGATCGGGATATTCTTCGCAAATCCGTCCTGCAGCATAATCATGTATTCAAGTTGGTTTTATGTAACTAATATTACATATATAAATATTTTAAATCTATCCTGATATATTACATTGTATTGTTATTTATATTATTATACTTAAAGAAGGAATGAAGTCTTTTCACACTTTTGGCAATATTAAGTATACATATTTTTTATGTATTTAGACTTTAACTATTAATTCATTTAGAATTGTATTTTTACTTTTCTCACAGCACACACTATTTGTATTATTTTATAATAATTCTTATTAGTCTTGAAAAATTTGTATATTATATTTAATTAATTAAAGAAGCTAGGTTACAGTATTCGATTTGAATTTTAGGTTTGCTCGTCTGATGAATGAAAAATTTAGATTGACTATTGTTATACAATTTGTTGTGAGTACGTTAGTAGTATGTATCATTCTTTATCAATTTACCAAATCAACAGCGGCAAGAGCACAGTATATGCAATTAATGATGTATATGGGTTGTATGCTATCACAAATCTTTTTTTATTGCTGGTATGGTAATGAAGTTATGTTAAAGGTATATATGTGTGTGAAACATATATCTGTTATTTGGATATTTAGTAATATCTATATATTGCGTAAAGAAAATAAATAATAGGCTTTGTTAAATGTAGAGTCGTCAATTGATTAATAGTATATTTGAAATGGAGTGGTTTGAATTAAACAAACAAACTAAACAATCTTTATTAATGATTATGAGACGAAGTTCAAGACCAATCGAGCTTACCAGTGCTTATGTTATCTCGATGAATCTCGATTCATTTGTGGGTGTTGGTATTAAAATTTATTGTCATTTATAATTAATAGCTTAATTATAAGTAAAGTATTTAATGTTAAATTTACTTCCATTAAAATTTTTTAAAGAAATATTATTCGATTAAAACCAGTGTTAAATGTTATTTTTATCAAAAGAACACAATTTCAATGTATTAAATATATTTTACCTATTTACTTAGGTAAAAAATAATTATGCATAAAGTGTGTGTACAAATTTAAAAATAATAAATTAGATGAATTTTTCAATAATTTTAATATAATTAATACTGTTGGCTATGCATATTTAATTTTTTTAAAATCATAATTAATAATTTTAATTGCAGCTACTCAAGACATCATATTCAGCTTACAACGTACTGAAACAAATGTAAAAACGGCAAAAACAAAGTAGAAGAAGAATTATACTTCATTTCGTCATCTTTCAATGCAAAAATCATTATTAAGATGATTACAATAATATAGATTTGCATTACTAATATATGCAGAGAAACATTAAACAGTTTATACATCAGATGATTTTATTCGGCAATGATAACATAATTTTTGTAATCTATTATGGCATTTGAGTAGAGAGATATTTAAGGAGACAAATTTAGAATTTACGTTAATTATAGAATCTTAGAATGTTTACTACTATTGATTATACGATATTGTTTTTACTTGTGCACTAATCGAAATATATTGTTATGGATTTGAGTAATATTTTACTATGTATATACATATACACATATATGCACACGTCACAGACTATACATAAACTATCAAAAATCGGAAAGCAGCAGAAATCAATATAAGGAAGAAAAATTTGTCATTCACATCACGATATGGCAAATTTACGCCTTCATGAATTAAATAGTTTTTGGTTGAAGTATATGAGAGTTATTGACGTTAATATTTTATGAAGAGTAAGTACGGAGAACTGGACTCGATATCCGCGAGGGTTATTATTTTTTATTCCTCCGCTCTGTTTTCTAACATGCAATATCATAAAACATAATTCACATGAAGTATTATTATGTCATAATATCTTAATATTGTCAAGTTTGTGTTTAGCCGACTGTATGAAAATAGTATTATGTGAAGAACACAATTGCAATCTAAATAATGAAAGTTGTCAAAGGGAATAGTTAGGTAAGCTGTATTATTGCACGAAGATCTTGAAGCTATAGACAACATTTGATGACGGTCAGTTTACTGTAAGATTTTATTGCGTATCAAATTATATCGCAAGATAATTTTTCTCATATAATATGAATTTTCTTACAATATTATCTAAGTAATATCAAATAATATTAGAAAATTGTCATTCATGATGTAATTTAGTTATTAATTTACGCATATTGTTAAACGTACGTATAGATTTGTAATCGATTGATTGATAACGTCATGTTATAAAATATTATACTTGAAATTTTTGATTAATTGAATTAAAGAATTATTCTATATCTAAATTTTTTAAAATTTTAACAGTGTGACATTGAGAGATACGTGTTTTGTATGAGTACAAAAATATAAAGTATATAATTTATTATAACTATTTTTACAAAGGAGAGATTAATAAATAACATCGAAGAAGATACTAGAAGATATTAAAGATGTTTATACTGGCCTTTACGTTCAAAATATTGACGATTTGTGGTTGTGGACGACTGGATTCTTGGCCGACTCCATACAAACGGTTAGTTTATCATGTGTATACTATTTTCGTAATGTTACTAATACACACGTTTATGTTATCGCAATTGATGGATCTTATTATGATCGTGGATAATTCCAACGATTTCACTGATAACTTCTATGTGCTACTCGCTATGATCGTTTCTTGCTGTAAGATGCTCGCTCTGTTGATGAATCGCAGCAACATTGAGATGTTAATCAAAACTCTTATGAGAAAACCGTTTCGACCGGTTGAACCCGACGAGATGAAGATTCGACAGAAATTCGAAAAACTCATACAGTAAGCATTTCGAGCTAGCATCGACTATCAATGCTCTTTTAATACATAATTAAAATTTAATTAAAATAAATTAGTTGCGCGCTGTTATACAATAATTAAGATTGTTTTTTATTTAAATGAACAATTAAATCAGACTAAATGCTTTTACTTGAAAAAAATAATGAATAAAAAGTGAAACGCGAAAACGTCTATAGTCGTTTTACAGCTCAAATACGCTTCACTATACTATCCTGGTCGAGACAACGTGTCTGTCTGTTGTCGTGACATCATTATTGACGGAATTCAGGAAAGGAAATTTGACGTTCCGAGCATGGTTGCCATTCGACTATTCCTCGCCGCAACTTTTTCCATTTGTATACGCTCATCAATTGATCAGTTTTACAATGGGATCTGTACATCATGTGGCTTGCGATAGTCTCATATGCGGATTCCTGGTGCACATTTGTTGTCAAATAGAGATATTGGAACATCGTCTGAGGAAAAGTGCACGTGATCCTAACATTCTTCGCGAATGTGTTCTTCAGCATAACCACATATTCAAGTTTGTTTCCAATATTACGCTGAAAATAGATTATTAAGATATTTATTATTAAGATGTACGATGTATAGCACAAATTTTTTATTACGTTTCCAATTATTTTTTTGTAAAATCATCCCCTTCCTAGTTATATTACGATTTCTGGAACATTCTGTATATATTTTATTAATTTAAAAGTTGTAATATTACTTTTTTTTATTAATTTTAGGTTTGCTCGTATAGTAAATGAAAAATTCAGGATAACTATATTTATCCAGTTTATTGTAAGTACATTGGTAATGTGTTTTAATCTGTACCAATTTACCAAGTCAACAGCGTTAAGAACAAAGTATATGCAGTTAATAATGTATACGTGCTCTATGCTGTCACAAATCTTTTTCTATTGTTGGTACGGAAACGAAGTTAAATTGAGAGTATGTGAACTTTTAAAACAATTCTTTTTTATTTAATATATAGATAAAATAAATATGTAGGCCTTTTCTCTTTCTCTTGATTGTTGAAATATAGAGTCGACAGTTGATAAATAATATATTTGAGATGGAATGGTTCAAATTCAATGAAACTGCTCAGAAAACTTTACTAATGATCATGAGACGTTCTGTAGTACCAATTGAATTTACTAGTGCCATTGTTATTTCTATGAATCTGGATTCGTTTGTGGGTGTTAGTATCGTAATGTGCTATTATATATAATTAAGTAGAGACTGTTAAATAAATAAAGTTTTAATATCAAAAGTGCTTTCTCTTTTTTAATAAAAAAACAATGTCAAATTAAAATAGATTTGCTTATATTAATAATAATTTAAATATTTAGTATATTTAACAAAAGAATTTATTATAATTAATCATATATTAATTATAAATGTAAGATAAGAACCAATTAAATATATTCACATATAATAACTTATTTAAAATAACGTTAATAATAATTTCTGTTGTAGTTGCTCAAGACATCGTATTCGGCTTACAATATACTTAAACAAACACAAGGCTCATAATGATGGATACATATAGCAAAAATATTGGTGACATCAACGCAATGTGAGTCTATGTTACGAATATGTGAATATGAATATCACATATATACATATATAAAATTTTATTATTATATAATACTGATAATTTTCTTTTGTATTATTGATATTATAAACAGGAAAAAATTAAAATATTTGTGTACAACAATTTTTATTACAACTTTTGACATGCGGATTTTACTTACATTGCACGAATAATTATATAATTAGAGATTGTATAAATTTGTGTTAAATTAAAAATTGTAGTAAAAGGGATTAAACAAGGAGAGAAAATCTGTTGCCTTTAGAATTATCAAATAATAAATTTCGAATAATAAATTGATATTTTTATTATTTCCAAGCAGAAGTAATATTTCCTAGAATATTAAATATTTCCTAGTAGAATGTGGGAGTTGCCAATGTCAGTACTTCGGCGTACAGATATACAAATCACCTGTGCGACATTCGAGGGTTGTCATTTTTTTCTTTCCACAGCAGTTCTAACGTATAATTTATTTTAAAAGTATTAATACAGTGTACTACCATCAGATAAAGTCTGTGTTTAGCATTCGCGTTGCACATGAGAGAGGGATGTGGTTACAAATTAAATATTAAAAACTACCATATAAGGAGGGACGAGTTAAATGAGGATCTTTGCTAGAAATTCGCAAATCTATAGACATTCTATAATTGTCGTTCTGAAGAGTTTGTCGCACATTAGATTAATATTTGTGCAAACAATTTTATTACAATTTAGAGTTTTATTTAATAAATTTTTTGTATTTACTTTTATAAGGATATCTGAGAAAATTAATTACTCAATTTTTTCAGTCAATACATACCTAAAATTTTATATGATTAAGGAAGAATGTGAAAAATATATAAAAAGTGCATGTAAACTTTTGTTATCATTTAATTTTCACGGTGTACATAAATTATTATACCGAGAAATATTAAAATGCGAGTATTAGATTCGACTTTTAAATTTCTAACTATTTGTGGTTGCTGGCGACCCGATTCTTGGACATCGTCATGTAAACGTGTAATCTACCATATGCATACATTTTTCGTGCTTGTGCTAATAAACACATTTACTTTATCACAATTACTGGATATTATTCTTACTGTGGATAATGCGGACGATTTCACTGATAATTTCTACATGTTACTTGCAATGATTGTTTCTTGTTGTAAAATGCTTAGTATGTTGATAAATCGCAAAAATATTGCTTTGTTAACAAACATTCTAATGGAAAGACCGTGTAGACCATTGGAACCGGAAGAAATGGAAATTCACGACAAATTTGATAAAGGCGTACAGTAAGTTTCCTGAAAAGTTATTCAGAGTGTTTCATATTAAGTTCATTATATTAAAAAAGAAGTATTTTCGGGAAAAATGTTTTAGACAAAATTGTATAATTTAAAGGGAAATATAAAGTACGTCACTAACTATTAATTTTTTGATAACTATTTTAATACTGTTATATGTTGAATAACTAGAAAAGTCATATTATATAAAAAATCAGACAATTTGATTAAAAAATGACACTGACTTTTATATAAACTTGAAACATCGATTTAAAGAAATTGATGTTATCATTATTTATCTTCTTCAAACTATACAATATTTATCCGAAACATTTTTTTATGAAAATGCTTCATTTTCAAGATATAATCAACTGTATCACTTAAAATAAGACATCCTGTTTTTATTATTAAAACTAATTGCTTAATTATACCGAACATAATTTAATTTTAAGATAAAAATTCAAAATTTAAATATTTCTGATTAAGGGTGCCATGTTTTTTGTACTTTTACATACTAATGTAAAGTGCAATATTATAATTATTAAAGTTACATATTAGGAAAAAATAGGAAAATTGATATTAAATAAAACATTGAATTACAAATGAAACGCGACAATGTCTACAGTTATTTTGCAGAGCAAACACAATACATTATGCAATTCTGGTTGAAATGACTTGTGTATGCATTACGTTAACGTCGTTACTCACGGACTTTAGAAGACGGACATTGACATTCAGAGCCTGGTTACCGTATGATTATTCATCGCCAATCTTATTTCACATCACATATGCTCATCAATTGATAAGTTTAATAATCGGATCTGTCCTGCATGTTGCTTGCGATGGTCTGATTTGTGGACTATTGGTACACATTTGCTGCCAGATCAAAATATTGGAATCTCGTTTGAGAAGAATAGCACATGAGCCTGGCATTCTTCCTGAGTGCATTCTACAACACAGTCGTATTTTCGAGTTTGTATTTATATATAATATACTTCTATATATATGATACAGTTATTTATTTATATATTATATATATATAATATAGTTGAATATTAACGCGATAGAAATATATTAACATTGCGTATGTTAATAAAAACATCAATATATAGTTATCATTTCAACTCGCAAATATGAAATAGTTAATTACGTTTAATTGCAGCTTTGCTATCACGGTCAATGAAAAATTCAGGTTTACTATTGCTATTCAGTTTATGGTTAGCACATTGGTAGTGTGTTTCAATCTATATCAATTAACTAGGTCGACTACAACGAATGCAAAGTATGTTCAGCTGGTATTATACATGTGCAGTATGCTGACGCAAATCTTTTTTTATTGCTGGTACGGAAATGAGGTAAAATTAAAGGTATGCGATTTTTGAAATAATAAATTATAATTTAGAAAATAAATAAATAATTATCAATTTTTTAATAATTAACTTAATTTATATGCATAATTGATATAATTAATTTATATGTATTTTAATATTATTTTATAATTAATATAGAGCCGACAACTCGTCAGTAATATTTTTGACATGGAATGGTGTATATTAGATCAAAATGCAAAAAAAACTTTATTATTAATTATGAGACGTAGTACAATGCCTATTGAATTCACCAGCGCCTATATTATTTCGATGAATCTTGATTCTTTCGTGGGTGTTAGTATAAAACGCTTGCTATTATTGCAGAATCAATTATGTTTGGAAGGATTTAAATCTAATAATAATATATATAAATTTATTTGAATAAAATAAAATGAATCTTTTTAGAAAACCTTTTTAGTTCGTTAAGTTTTTGTTAAATAACTTCTAACTAAATTTTCTAATATTTTTATTTATTATATGGAATATTTATTATTTGCAGTTGCTTAAAACATCGTATTCAGCTTATAATATTTTGCAACAAATATAACAGAGAATGACGCAATATAAATAGTAATTCCAATAATTTAGCCTCACACTGTTATTTGTATTCAAATAATTTTAAGCGATAACGCAAACAGAACCAATTGAACAGAACATTATAATCAGCGTTGATTTTCGTATAAATGTAATTTTTGTAAGTTAGAAGAATAAAAAGTAATTACTTGTTCTCATTATAACCATGTTTCTGCGAGTGTACAAGAGAGAGAGAGAGAGAGGGGGGGGAGGGAGGGGGAATTATTATACAGTTTAATATTATAAAATTATGTTTTTGCATTTATCATATGTCTAATTTACATTGATATTACAACTATAACAAATTATACAATAGTATATAAAATAATTTGGAAATATATTCTTAATTAAATTATTGTTTAATTGACTTGTATTTATTAAACTAATTAAAAAATTACATAATTTGCTATTTAAATAAATATAAAAATACTCTTCATTCTATAATTTACTTTTTCTATTACTACTATTATATTACTATAATAACTGCTAACAACTTTTTTCTTACCTGTAAAATATATTTGTACATTGAATAATTCGATATTATGATACTGTGACTAAAAGAAAAAAATGTAAAAAGAAAAAAAGATTGAATAGCACTATAAATATCTTAGAAATATCGATATAGAGACAGAGAAATCTGAATTTTAAAGAAAAGTTAAACATCTAAAGCTTAATATAGCGTTATAGAAGTATAACATTATAGATCGAAATATAACGTGATAGTATTGATATAAAGATAGATTATAATTATCTGTTCAATATTTTATTATTCTACTTCGTATTTCTTCTACTTCATCTCTTTGTTACATTTAAAGCCAAAATTATGCTATATATTATGTATGTCAATTTTGTTACCATCTATATGTGTTGCACGCTATATCGTGAAAAATTATTTCATGAGGAATATATTATGAGAGATACGCTGGAAAATGAATAATGGAATAACTACGACAATATTCTACATCTAACAATAAGAAATGAGCAAAGCTATAGACTGTAGAAAGAGATATTTATCAATCATTCTCAGAACTTCGTTACATATCATTATACTTACCAGTTTTGATCGTTCAAAGTATTTTTTCTTTATATAATAATTTAATGTATTTTTTGCGCAAGACTTAGGTATAAAAGGTTTGTTTCTAATTGTTAGAATAATTAGAAAATTTATGATAAATATAAAATACAAATGACGTTCATAAGTAATAAAAAACAAAATATTTATTAAGTTTATAACAAAATCAAAATGAAAAGCAATATTTTCAATTGACAAAATTTCAAATTACACTTCGGGTACATAATTATACAATTAATAATATTATAAGTTACATAAAGTTTGTAGTAATTAATTACGAGTGTTATGTGCTTGACAGATGCTGTGTGCTTCACAGGTGATATCACAAAGAAGATAATCTTCTAAAAAAAATGTATATCCTTAAATATACTTTTAATCTTTTAACGATATTTGGATGCTGGCGACCAGATTCCTGGTCGTCGCTATGTAAACGCATCACATATCACGTATATACAAGTATAATAATTCTAATAGTAAATACTTTTATGCTATCAGTAATGATGGATGTCATCTGGACTATAAACAACGGGGAAGATTTTTTTGATAATTTCTTTCCACCAATCGCGACCTTTATTTCTTGTTGTAAAGTGTTCATTTTGTTGATGAATCGTAAAAACATTATTATGTTAATCAATATATTGAGACAGAAACTACATAGACCATCAAGCTCGACAGAAATGGAGATTTTGAATAATTTCGATAAAAGCATACAGTAAGTATTAACAAACAATATCATAATATTATGTTATTTAACTTAATATTATTAAAACTATCAAAATTTATTTTGTACTATTCATAATATTTACATTTTATGTAACAATTTTATTTATTATTCAAATTGTTTTAATGTGCTTAATACCATTTTTTATCATAAATAGAAGGATCAGAACATATTAAAGAATTATTGAAAACAAAGTATTTTGTGAGTGAATTAATGAAAAAAGAGATATAAATATGAAATAATAAAATCTTAAAACACTTATATACGAGAGTCGTCTGAAAAGTTTTGAGCCTAACATAGAAACAAGTAATTTTTCGGTCGAATTCAATTTTATTTTTCCACATAGTCTCCTTTTAAGTCGATACATTTTTTCCAGCGATGCTCCCACCCCTTTAATCCATTCAAATAATACTGAGCGTCTTGCTTTGCAAAATAGGCGTCTACGGATGCGATGATCTCGTTCGATGAAAATTTCTGTCCTCCGAGCCAAACTTTGAGCCTAGGAAACAGAAAAAAGTCGCTGGGGGCCAGATCTGATGAATACGGTGGATGGTCAATTAATTCGAACCGCAATTCGTGAATTTTTATCATGGCGATTGCTAATATTCGATTTTTTCCATTTTTACAAAAACATTGACATTGACTGGCACAAATGACTGTCAAACAACAACTAAGCGCCGGAAGTAGCTACAATTTTCGCAGGTATCTTTCAAAGTATGTACGATTATAGTACTAAAATTGTTTTGACGAGTAATGCCATCTTCATGTAGAGGTTCAAAACTTTTCAGACGACCTATGTATATTTTATATACATAATTATATTTGTATATTTGAGAAACATCTTATAATTATTTTAGAATAAATACTTTGCGCTTCATATATTTGGGAATAGTAACAATGGTGTGGATCGCATTATCTTCTTTATATATAAACTTCAAAAACAGAAAATTAATGTACAAAGCATGGTTGCCATTTGATTATTACTCGTCGACAGTACTTTTTTATCTAACATCTGCTCATCAAGTGATAAGCATGACTATCGCAATGTTCATAAATATTGGTTGCGATACTCTCATCTGTGGATTATTAGTCCATATTTGCTGTCAAATTGAGATTTTGACTTATCGTCTGCGAAACATTATATTTTGTTCAGATATTCTTCGTGTTTGCTTACATCAACATTACCATATCTTCAGGTTAAATCTTGTGATTTTAAATTTTGCAAATTTTTGTTATACGTATACGTATGCATTATTTAAATAATTAGTATATATTATAATATAATATCTTACACACAAAGTTACATTTAACGTACCTGTTAATTATAATTTCCTACTGAACAATATAACTGTAATATAACAAATGAATTATATTATATTTATATTGTTGAATAGGAAATTACAACTAATATCAGGTACATTAAGTAATTTTATGTTTGTTGAAATGTTATTTTATAAATATATTCCATTAAAATGTGCATAAAATATATATTTAAATATGTTTTAAAATATGTACTCAAATTTGTTAAATTTTAGATTCGCTTTAATTGTAAATGAAAAATTTGGCATGACTATTGCTATTCAATTTATATTAAGTACGATGATGATATGCTTCAGCCTTTATCAAATCAGTAAAACAACAGTAAAAGCTAATTATATTCAGTTGATATTAGTTATATTTTGCATATTGACCCAAATCTTTTTCTATTGTTGGTATGGCAACGAAGTAAAGATAAAGGTAATTCACAACTTATAAATGTAATATAATATGAAATACAAAGGCAAAATATATATATCCAGGCTTTTGTTTAATAAAAAAAGATACAATAATTGTAACGTGAACAGATAGTTATAATTTTCAATAATATCTAAACCTAATCTATCTAAATCTAATTAGTCTATTTTTTATATCAGTCTATTTTTTGTTGCAAAATTCATAAAATATTTTTTATTATATGTAGATATTATTAAGCATATGAATAATTTAAGACGTATTAATAATCTAAGCATCTTTCATTTTTTACAAATGCTATATTTATAGATACATTATTTTGCATATCTCCGTAGAGTTATCAGATTATTGATGATATTTTCGAAATAGAATGGCTGATATTGGATGATAATATAAAGAAGTCTTTAATGATGATGATGATGCGAGCACTTGTGCCTATACAGATTAATTGCGTTTATGTTATTCCTATGAATCTCGAATCTTTTATGAGTGTTAGTATAGATATCATTAAAGTTAATTTTGTCAACAAATTTTTTGACAGTATAATTAAATTTGTTTGAATTAAGTGAAGCATTGTAATATATAGGTACATTATATTATTAAAATGTTTAACAAAATTTAAACAAATTTTTTATGATTTAAAGATTAAAGTGTTAGGTAGTCTGCTTATGTGAATTTGATGTAACAATCTAATATATCTAATATTACTGGCAAAATCAATGGAAATTTATTAATTACTAAACATATTAATTTAAGATTATAATTGTTCATACTAATTCTAGATACTTAAGATGTCATATTCCACTTACAACTTACTTCAACAAATAGAGAAATAATTGAGGTCGATGAAATTAATGTGCTACTGATACTGCAAGTTCAAATTTAAGAAGAGGTATAATAAGGAGAAAAGAAAAAAGGTATATTAATAATTATTCTTCATAATTGACGTTTATATACATTACATATTATAGAAAATAAATATAGACTATCTTAATGCATAATTTATTCCACTCCTTACTTATTACTTAAGTTTATTAATATCTGTTTTGTAATTTCTTGAATATCTTGCTTTTTGTGATTTACATCGTAAGTGTAATATAACAAAAACATTTTATAATAGAAGTTAGAAAATATCATATCTGAAATTAATACGAAGAACGAATCATATACGGTAACTATTAAATATTATAATAAATAGAATAACGATCAATAAAACTAATTTTTGAGATAAAAAAGGAATAATATAATTTTATTGCTCGTATTTTTTTTATTTATTTATTAGGTTAAGGAAATACTTAACGGTATTCTTAATCGTCTATTTTTTATATTGTATTTATATCTAAAAACTGTATCATCTTTAATATATGTACCTCAACGTATGAAAGTTAAATTTTTAAAAGTTTATAATATTGATATGATAAAAATACATTTGTGAGATTAATTATTGGAATTCGATATAATAAAAGAACATAATAGTGTGTACATACAATAAAATTTTAGATAGAAAGAAAAGTTAGAATGCTGTATAAATTTTTTTACAATTGTAAGTCGTGCAAAAAATTGTGTATTCGTCGTTTCTTTAAGTTTATTTTAAAAATATCACATCTTCAAAAATATTGCAATAAATAACATTTTTATAAAATGTTATATTGTAATGTTGAAGATTGTTTGAAATGCGTTAATAATAATAAAGATTTCATCGAAAATTTTTATGCAACGCTGGTAATGGTTGTCTTGTGCGCAAAAATGTTTAAAAAATTTACAAAATTTGTTAGTAAATCGAGAGAAGATTTGACATGTTAATTAACATATTCATTGAGAATATGTATAGATTGTTAAAGAGGTGGACGAAATAACAGAAATGATTTTTAATTGTTTGTAATTAAATTATTGTTTAATTGATGTATTTATTAAAAAATTAATCTAAAAATTGCAATTTAAACAAATATATGTATAATTTTTTTTACTATATTTTTAATTACTGTATTTATATTACTATATTATTAGCAATATTTTTTTAACTTGTAAAGATATATTTGTAGAATTAATAATGAAATTTCAACATATAAAAAGTAATTAAAATTTTACGAGTATTCTAGAAATAATAACATTAATAGCACAGAATTCTATATCTAGATTCTATTATTTTGCTTGTGATTAAAATATAAAAGTGATGCTGAAAAGTTCTTATTTATGCTTACCTATGTACATTGTACATGTATGCCGTATGCACTGTAAAAAGAAATGTGTTTTTTTAATACTTGTCTCTATTTTTTAAATACTTAAAGATGTTTTAGTTTTAAACTTTTTCAATAGATAAAACATTACATGTTTGGATTTAAAACGTATAGTGTTTTAAATCCAAACACGTAGTGTTTTGTCTATTTAAAAAGTTTAAAACTAAAACATCTTAAAAAATGGAGTCAAGAATAAAATATTTTAATATCTTAAAATTAAACATTTCTTTTTTCAGTGTGCGTACTGTAAGTATATCTACTACTGATAATGAGTGTATCAAATGACTATATATAAATGTGTGTTTTATACATACGTATGAGTATAACTTGGACACAGAATGGTAGTGTTCAGCGAGAACATTGCTTGGTATAGAAATGGCGATGAAATGATCAATCTAGTAACAAAAGTCTATTGTTAGTAGCGATATAAAAATTTGGATTTCATAGAAAATTCAAATATCTAAAACTTAAACGTCGTAGAAACATAACGTGTTTACAATATTACAAAAAATAAATAAGTTATAATTATCTATTTAATAATTTAGAATTCTCTGTCTTGTATTTTCTCTATTTCGTCTCTGAAAATTATTATTGCTTCTGTAGATATAATCACGTATTATTGTTAATGTGAACTTTGAATAATGCATATCAAGCCATGAGTTATTTCACGAGAGCTATATTACGAGAGATACATTGTAAAATAAATAATAAAGGTACTGAGTGAGGTAATATTATAGAGTGAAATATGAACATTAGACTTCCATATCTAAAATATTCGATCTGCAAAGCTATAGACTGGCTGACTTGGTCAGTCATTCTAAAGATTTTGTTCTGTATTATACTTGCTGGTCGTGATTACTTGAAGCATAAAATGTAAATTATAAAATATAAAGTACATATAAATATATATATGAAGTATTTATAAAGTATACTTTCGTTATAATTTAATTTTTCTGATTTGGATCTTTTAAAATATATAATTCTTATTTATTACTATTAGATCAATTAAAGAATTGTTTTAGTTATCTGTAAATGTAAAAGATATATAAACATTTGTAATTATCAAAAAATAAGGAAATATTTATTAAACCTCAAGAATAAAAATACGAGAAATTTTTAATTGATAAAAAAGACTGTCAATTATTTTATAAATATATTTAATATAATTAATAATATTATAGGTTACAAAAAATATCCAGAATTAATTGTGTATTTCGCAGATGACATCAAAGAAGAATATTTTTTAAAATGCGCATTCTTAAGCTTAATTTCAAACTTTTAACGATATTTGGATGCTGGCGACCGGATTCTTGGTCGTCACTGCATAAACGCGTAGCATACTACATGTATACCAGTATAATAATTATAATACTAAATACCTTTGTACTATCGCAACTGATGGACGTAATTCTAACTGTAAACAACGCCGATGATTTTTCCGAAAATTTCTTTATATTAATTGCCATGTTCATTTCTTGTTGTAAATTGTTCATTTTACTCATGAATCGCAAAAATATTATTATGTTGATAGGCATTCTAATGAAAGAACCTTGTAGACCGTCGAGATCGTCTGAAATGGAGATTCTATATAAATTCGACGAAAGCATACAGTAAGTATTGACAAACAATAAAAAAAATAAATGATTAAAATGTATTAAATGTTACCTTTTACTTCTAGATTTTTCACATAATTTATAATGTTTTTTTTATTATTCAAACAGATTTAATATGTTTTACCCTCTGACTACTACGTATCACGTATAATGGCTTCTCGCTAATCTATTCTTTGGAACGAAACGCCATATAATGACTTCTCAAACAGTCTTTTAGGATGAAACGCTACTATAATGGCTTTTTTCTAAACTTTTTTGTATACTTTGTCACTATCAAGCAGAAATATTCTCAGTTATTTTGATTTCGAAAACACGTTCGCGGTTTTAATTGAATTTTGCGGCTAAGCTGTATGTATAGTAGATACAGCTTCATGTACCTACCAGCACAGCAGTAGCCAAAGGGTTAATATACTTTATCGTATACAGAAACGTATCCATGTCATAAAAAATAAATTGATTTTTTAATTAATCAACATAAATACGATAAAAACAAAAAAACAAAACTCAAAAATATTACATTTGAGAGTTATTTTATTATTGTTTTAGAATTAACACTCGACGTTTTATATGCTTGGGAACAGTAACATGTTTATGTGTCGTATTGACATCTTTGTCATTGAACTTCAGAACTAGAAAATTAACGTATAGAGCATGGTTGCCATTTGATTATTCGTCAACATTATTGTTCTACCTGATGTATGCTCATCAATTGATATGTTTAATTGCCGGAGGATTTCTAAATATTGGTTGCGATACTCTCATCTGTGGATTATTGGTCCATATTTGCTGTCAAATTGAGATATTGACTTATCGTTTGAAAAATATTGTATCTTATTCAAATATACTTCGCGATTGCGTACATCAACATTATCATATCTTCAAGTAAATCTTACCACATTTTACAAAATACTTTTTAAAATTATGATATTAATTTATCACACGTTTTTTATTACAATATCTTATTAATTGAAAAAAATCGTTAAATTTTAGACTTGCGTTTATTGTAAATGCGAAATTTAGATTAACTATTGCTATCCAATTTGTAACTAGTACGTTGGTGGTATGCTTCAGTCTTTATCAATTAAGTACAGCAACAACAAAAGCTAAATATATTGAAATGATATTATATATATCTTGCATGTTAACAGAAATATTCTTCTATTGCTGGTACGGCAACGAATTAAAAATAAAGGTATGATAACAGACACTTTTTGTTAGTAAGTATAATTGATATAAATGTTCTTAAATAATTTGCTAAATCTATTCAGTTTATATCTAATTGCAAAATGCTAATAGTACATATTGTTGGAGTATATTAATGTCTAAGAAATATTAATAAATATCTTTTGTTAATTGCACAAATGCTATGAAAATACATTTTACATATTTCAGTAGAGTCATCAAATGATCGATAATATTTTTGAAATTGAATGGTTGGCATTGGATGAAAATAGGAAGAAGTCTCTAATGATAATAATGAGCCGGGCAATCGTACCTATTCAGATTACCTGTGCTTATATTGTTCCCATGGATCTTAATTCCTTTATGAGTGTTAGTATGGATATTATTAAAACTAATTAGACAATAAATTTTATTTTCTTGCACTTGTTTTGCATTTACGTGAGGGTTTATAATTGATTTATTACGTTATTATACAATAATCAATAAAATTTAAACAAATTCTTTTAATTTAAATTTAACTGATTAATATATTAAAATTATGCGCACGCTGCATATTAAATAAATTATTATTTGAAACAAGCAGATAATATACAGTGTGTTCAGTAATAATCAAATCACCAGTCATAAGCAGATAGAGCGGACAAAACTGAATCAAAAAGTTCTGTACCATTATACAATTTTCGTAATAGTTAACGAGATATTAATTTCTAAAACTGCTGAACAGCAATGGCCTATCCGCCAAATACAAGTGTGGTGAGGTTATCTACAGTTGTAGATTGCTTGACATGCGAATGTTGTTTACTACGGCTGTGTTCCGATATACACTGTATTGAAAATCTATAGTGCATGTAACGTATATTATAGATTTTCAGTACTGACAGTGTATATCGGAACGCCTGCAATTACTACAAACGGTATTGCGAAAATTGTAAAATGGTACAAGATTTTTCGATTCAATTTCATCCACCCTATTTGCTCACGAAAGGTAATCCGGTCATTACCAGGCATCCTGTATACCTAATATAAATAAATTCAGCAGCATATGTGTTTAATACTCCGAAGAGCTGACGAAGAGCTTAAAATCTGTAACACACACACACACAGTTACTGATGTTGGATCTGTAAGATCAATTTAATTTATGTGAATTAAAAGGCATTTCTCTTAATTTTAAGGAACCAAAACAATTTAATATAAAAAAGCATGAGTACTAAATTTATTTTAATAACAATAATTTAAATTTGCAGATTTAATATAAAGAATATAATTTAATAGATCCAACAGACCCACCGTCAGCTCCGCAAGGTTAATAATTAAAATTTAGCATATCTAATATTGAGGAAATTAGCTGTAAATTTATTAAAAATATATTTAATTCAAAATTATAAGTGTCTATATACTACTTCTAGTTACTTAAGACGTCGTATTCTACATACAACTTACTTCAACAAATCCGGGAATAATTGTATAAGAAGCTGATAGAATTAATGTATTACTCATATCAAATGAGATAAAATCGGGGAAGAGACAGGAGGGAAAGAAAAATGATATACGCAATTAGTATCGTAATTAGTACTTAACGTTTCCATTACATACTGTTATAAAAAATAGATTACTAAATATATAATTTATTCTATCGCATATTCTTCTTATCATTTAATATTTATTAACGTATATATTGCACTTTTTTTTATCTCTCTCTATAACCTACTTTGCAGGTAAAATATAATTTTTAATTATTTTTTATTAAATTATTAATTGACAAATTTATTAAATTAATTAAATTATCTTTTATACAAATATGCTTAAAGAATATACTTTCTATATTAATGTATTTTTCATAATATTACTATTATATTATTACTCATTAGTAATACTTTCTTATCTGTAAAATTGTGCTTGTAGGACAAATAATGCAATTTTGACATTATGATTTTATGAATGAAAGAATACTGTATAAAGGGGGGAAGAGAAATTATAACACTACAATTATTTTAGAAGTATCACAGTAGGTATAGAAATATACTAGATTTCATAAAAACTGGAAATACTTCAAGATTGAATATCGTGAAGAATGAAAGTATCGCAGAAAGTGCCGGCATCAATATTTCATGAAGATAGGTTATAATTATTTGTTTAATATTTGACTATTCTGTCTCGCATTTTTTCTGAAAAGCATTGTTGCATTTAAAGATATAATTAGGTTTGTTCGTATACGTAAATTTTGTTGTATATGTATATATGTTGTCAGTTGAGTTATGAAAAAATTATTTCACTGAGAATACGTTTCGCGAGGGATACGTTACAAAATAAATAATGAAGTTACCAAGTACGAAGGGTGGAAACGTATACAATGGATATCTACGTTTAAGAAATTCGATCCGCAAAGCTATAGACCATTGACATTTGTCAGTTATCCTAAAGATTTTGTCATGTGTTATACTATATGCTGTATTCAGTGGTTATGATTGTTTAAAGTATTTTTTCTTTATATTAATAATTAATTTTCGTCTTTCTTACGGCTAATGTGCAATCTACTTTGATTGTTAATCAAAGAGTTTTTCTAGATATAAACGTAACATACAGTAATATTTTTGGAATACTAAAAATAAGAAAACTTCTATAATAATAGAAGCAATTTTGACAAAACTACATAATATTTTAGAGAAGTATTTAGTATAATTAATAATGACATACGTTATATTTATACAATTTACAGTAATTAATTACATGTACTGTGTGCTTTGTAGAGAATACAAAAAAATAAGCTCTTTAAAAAATGCGTATTCTTAAATTTACTTTTAAACTTTTAACGATATTTGGTTGTTGGCGACTGGATTCTTGGTCGTCGTTATATAAACGTATAACATACTACGTATATACAAGTATAATAGTTTTATTACTATATACCTTTATGCTATCGCAATTGATGGACTTAATATTAACTGTTGATAATGTCGATAATTTTTCGGATAATTTTTTTGTATTAATTGCCATGTTTATTTCTTGCTGTAAATTGTTAATTTTGCTGACGAATCGCAAAAACATTATTATGTTAATCGACATGTTGATGGAGAAACCATATAGACCGTCGAAATCAACTGAAATAGAGATTTTATATAAATTTGATAAAGACATAGAGTAAGTTTTAATAAACAACATTTTATTGTATTATTTGACTTGATACTATTAAAAACTATTGAAATATATTTTATGTTACTTTTTATATTAGAAATTAAAACCATTTTTTTATTTTTTAAATAATTTTAATACGCTTAACACTTAATTTCTTATTATGAATGGAAAATGGAGCAAACATATCCAAGAATTATTAAAAGTAAATTTTTTTTTAAGTTAAAAGAGAGAGAAATAAAAATATATATATTAAAAATTTTATATAAAATTTTGAAAAATTATTACCTATATATTTGAGAAACACTTTATAAATATTTTAGAATTAATACTCGGCGCTTTGTATATTTGGGAGCTGTAACGATGTCATGTATCATCTTATCTTCTTTATCTATGAACTTTAGAAATAGAAAATTAACTTATAGAGCATGGTTACCATTTGAATACTCATCAACGACACTGTTTTATTTGATGTATATTCATCAACTGATAAGTTTGACTACTGCAGCATTCATAAATATTGGTTGTGACACTCTCATCTGTGGATTACTGGTTCATATTTGCTGTCAAATTGAGATCTTGACTTATCGCTTGAGGAAAATTATATCTTATTCTAACGTTCTCCGTGGTTGTGTACATCAACATTATCATATTATCAGGTTAAATCTTATAATTTTATAAATTTTGGAAATTCTTATAATAACTTTTAATATAGCTTTTAATAATAGTTTTTAAATTATACTTCTTATCATAATATTGTTTTTATTATGTTTATTGTTTTAAAATATGTATATACGTATTATTAGTATGTCGTTACATAAGCAAAATTAAATTTTAGACTTGCGTATATTGTAAATACGAAATTTAGACTGGTAATTATTATTCAATTTATAACAAGTATGTTGATAATGTGCTTCAGCCTTTATCAAATAAGCAAAACAACTACAAAAACCAAATACATTGAAATGACATTATATATATCTAGCGCGTTAACACAAATCTTCTTCTATTGTTGGTACGGAAATGAAATAAAGATAAAGGTATGGTAATATAGACATTTAGTAGATATGGTAAATATAAATGCTTTTAAATAATATGTCAAATATTTATAATTTTAATCTATATTTAATAACAAAAACTGATGATACATATTGTTAAAGCATTTCAATATTTAAGAGATATATATTAGTAACATAATTATTTTTTATTTCTTGAACAAAAACTACATCCATGGATAAATTTTACATATTTCAGTAGAGTCATCAAATGATCGATAACATTTTCGAAATGGAGTGGCTAACACTGGATGAAAGTAAAAAGAAATCTCTAATAATAATAATGAGGCGGATAATTGTGCCTATTCAAATTACTTGCGCTTATATTATTCCTATGAATCTTGATTCCTTTATGGGTGTTAGTATAGATATTAGTGAAACTAATTTCGCCAAATTCTATTTTCAAATATATTTAAATATGCTGTTTTGCATTTAAGATATTTATAATATATGAGGAGTAGAATTTCAAAATGCGTTTTGTCTAAAATTTATAATTTTCAAAAAACGAGAAGGAAAGTTGCATGTTTTACAGAAAATAACATTTTGCCAATCAATAAAATGTGAAATGTTCAACAAAATTGTTAAACAGTTGCTAAAAATGTTAAACAAATACATTTTGTTTGTCTTTAGTTAAACATAATGCACTTCGAATGTCAAGATTTTTCTCAGTACATAAATTGATGGTGTAAAAATACTTTCAGAAATGAATCTCTCTCTCTCTCTCTCTCTCTCTCTCAACACTGAACACTATGCCATCTTTAATTAAAAAAATGAAATTTTGGACAAAATGCATTTTAGAAGTCTGCTCCTCATATATTACTTTATCATGTTACTAAAATAAATTAAAAATCAAAGTTTAAGTAAATTTTAGCAATTTAATTTTATTTAAGTAATAAATTGAAATTATGCACAAGGAATAAGAATTTGGAATTATTGTTTGGAATCAAAAGCAGATTCAGCATCTTGTGTAATGTAATAATATTACAGTCTAATGTATCTAATATTATTGGCGAAATCAGTTGCAAATTTATTAATTACAGAATATATTTAAATCAAGATTAGGAGTGTTTATACACTAATTCTAGATACTCAAGACGTCGTATTCTACTTACAACTTACTTGAAAAAATACGGGTGTAATTCTGTAAAAGATTGATGGCAAAAACATACTCATGAAATTAAATCTTAAAAGAGCAAGAAAAAAGGAAAAAGTATATATACTGTTAAAAGTATTTATACTGTTAGTATTTATAATTAGCATTTATTACGTTCAAATCATCTAACATAAAAATAATAAAGAAAAATTATCTAAATGTGTTATTTATCTTGCTGCACATTTTCCTTATTATTTTACATTTATTAACATCTATTTTATATCTATTTTATATTTTGTATTTTCTTGCGTATTCTGTCTTTTATGCCACATTTCACAAATGTAATATAATTTAAACATCTGTCTCTAACGGAAGTCAGAAATCATAATACCTGAAATCAATACGGAAATAGAATCATGTACGACAACGACTTAGCAACACGCTTAGTGGCATGACAAATAAAATATTTTTAAACTTGAGAAATGCAGATATAACTGAATTACTTACATTAAAATTTATGATAAAATAATAATCGGGACATTTCCATTTCTTACATGATATTTGTGACTAAATATAAAAACGTTATTTAAAAAATATTAGCATATAAACGTTGTATTTTCAGAGATCGTTATTACCGTATACCTAACGGAACAATAAATATGTATGTATGGGATCAATGATTCAAGTCTGATATTATGATAATAACATAATAGTATGGACTATGGAATCTTTGAAGAAAAGAACGGGGCATAAACGTTCCACGGTTGTCAGTCGTTCAGAAAATGTCTTATTTGTTGTTTCTTAATACATTTTAAAGATGCTATAGTTTTAGAAATATTGAAGTAAATAAAATTTTGTGTAAAATATTTTTCAACATCTTTCGCAAATAATTTTTTCTGTATGATATTTGCAATTACTGTGCAAAAATTTAAGTGAAGTTAAAATATAAAAAAACCGATATAACGTGAAATAAAAGATGCACATCTTGCAATTAACCTTTAAGATTCTGACGATTGTTGGATGTTGGCGGCCGCAATCATGCTCGTCACTTTACTTGCGTATAATATATGATGCATACACGGTTTTTATGATTATATTATTGTATACTTTTTTGATATCGCAATTTTTGGATATTATCTGGAATGTTGATAATGCTGAAGATTTTACCGAAAATTTGTACGCC